AATTCCCCAGCCAGCCTTGCTGGCTGGGGAATTCTGGGGGTTGAAGTCCACTCATCTTCAAGTTGCCAAGGTTGAGAAACACTGGAGTACATGATCTCCAAGATCTTGCCATTCTTGGATAAGCAGGAAGAATTTCGTAACAGTGAGAGCTGCAACGAAAGAGACTCTGGGCTGTCTTCTTCTTCGCCGGAGATGTTCAAACAGGAGCTTGATCGCCAATTCCCAGGGATCCCTGGCGGTGGATTCCTGCACTGATCACACCGTTGGACTAGATCAGTGTTTCTTCCACTGTTTGCTGTCAGGACCCCTTCCCCCTTTTAAAAATGATGGGGGACCCCAGATGAGCTTCGGTGTGTAGGGGTTCTAGTCATTGATCGTTACCCTATTCAGTATTAAAAGTGATGCCCACCACTCCTCATGATTGTCGGATGGGATTTTAATAGGTTGGATAAAATGTTCATATTTTTTAATCTAGGCTGGCAAATCATTTTGATTTCACGGTCCCTGTGAGGGTGTCGGGGACCCCTGGGGGGGATCCTGGGGCACACTTGAAGAAGCACCCGGCTGGATGATTGCTGATCTCTTCCAACTCTCCCATTCTGTGACTTTATGCCGTGAGGTCTCTTATTTTGGTATTATGCGTAATTCTGCATTCTGCCCCAGTTTGCAGAAGGCTGGTGTCATCCATCCTCTTTAGTTTTTTTTCTCCTTTTCCGTCTTCCATCACTTCAAAGATGCCTTCCAAGGACAGCCACGCTGTGCAATTATCGTAGAGATGTGGGGAAATGCACCTAATCTTTATTTTTAAGCAAAGGGTTGAATTTGCATTTTCCAGATTGAAGTTTCGACCGAAACACCCTTGTCCAAATGGTGCAAGGATGTCTGTGGCTTAAGCAAAGACATTTGATTTATGTTTGGAAGACATGGTGTAGAAACATATGCATATTTTGTGTATATTATGGGAAATAGAGCGTGTAAATATACGTAGAATTCAGCTTCTTTTGTTTAATTTTTTTAAAAAATTGCAAACAGAGGCAGAAACGGGATGCAACTCCTTTATGGATGACTACCTTGTCCTTAATAATATTGTCCAGTTTTTCTAAAAAGGGAAGCAGTGGTGTTTAAGGAGATAACAGCAGCTTTGAAACTGAAATCGGTGTTTTCCACCCTTGGCAGCTTGTAGATGTGTGGATTTCAATTTCCAACATTTTCAGCAATGGCAATTCTGGCTGGGGAATTCTGGGACTTGAAGTCCATGCATGCTAGCTGGGGAATTCTGGGAGTTGCGGTCCATGCATGCTAGCTGGGGAATTCTGGGAGTTGCGGTCCATGCATGCTAGCTGGGGAATTCTGGGAGTTGAAGTCCATGCATCCTGTTTCCCAAAAGGGCCAGTGAGAGAACTCAAGCAGGATATAAAGGTAACACCCCACGCCTATAATCTGTCCTGTCCAGACAGGCTACTGTTGATCCTGGATGTTCCATTGACCATCAGGCCACCTGATAAAACCTTTGGCACGCTACTTAAATCAACCTTTCCTTTCCAGAACGAAGCCAGCCCAGCTACTTGCAAAGCAGCCAGCTTGTCTCCGGTCTCTGAAATGCTGACTCCCAGACCTGGCCCGAGTTGCGCTCCTCACATTGCAAAACCACCCACCACAGATATCATCAGTGAGTCATTGTTTGAGTTTCTCAGTTCCTACTTCAGTCATTTCTGCCTGTTTCTATAAAGCAGTGTTTCTCAACCTTGGCAACTTTAAGATGCGTGGACTTCAACTCCCAGAATCCCCCAGAAAGGCGGGCTGGGGAATTCTGGGAGTTGAAG